CATCACCACCACCATCATCACGTGACGCCGTCATCATCACCATCATCTTCATCACCACCCCCACCACCCCCACCATCATCACCATCACCACCACCACCCCCACCATCTTCACCCTCTTCATCATGGCAGCTCCTGTTCATTGAGTACTTGCTATGGGGCAGGCACGGCACTGAGCATGTTACGTACATTCTGTCACTCAGTATGACCTTGCAGGGGAGATACTAGAGTGACTCTTATCATGGTCACAGAGGTGAGGAGCTGGTACGTGGTGAAGCCAGGCCTCAAACATCCATCTCTGAATCCATAGCCCATGTGCCCTGATGCAGGAACTCTACCGTTCCCCAGATGCAGGAGGCACTGGGGTCCCCATTTCCTCCTGCGAGGCAGAGACACCAACCCCAAGTGCCCCCCCAGCTCAGCCCCCCCAACACCCACGTTCCTCTGTAACCCCTCTCCCATCTGTGCCCCATCGCTTCCCTCCACAGGTGTACGAGGGCGGGAGCAACGTGGACCAGTTTGTGACACGCTTTCTGCTGAAGGAGACGGCCAATCAGATCCAGTCGCTGCTGAGCTCCGTGGAGAGTGCAGTAGAGGCCATTGAGGAGCAGACCAGCCAGATCCGGTGCGTTCCCGGGACCTCCCTGTGTCACTTGGGGCTGTGTCGCACACACACACGGCAGTCTGCTGCTTGCAGGGGCCGTGTGTGCTTGGGGGCTGGGGGGACCTTGGGCAAGGTGCTACATCTCTCTGTGCCTCTATTTCCCCATCTGTAAAGTGGGATGATTATATACCTGCCTTTTCAACGACTGTGCATATGGAATGAGACACTGTACGTGCAGAAGAATGCCGGGGGTGCATGCAGGACAGGCACGTAGAGTTAAGACTGTTTCCTAGAGTCTGACCGATATGCCACATCCCTGTACCACTCACTTTCATTATTACCCGAGACGATTCTGTCACTTGCCTCGCTTCTGAAAACTGGAAATAGTTTCAGGAAACTACGTGGTTACCATAACCAGAGACGTTTCCACGAGCCATCAGTGCAGTAGCTATAAAACCAGGCACCTGCTCTTGCATGGTGTCGGGGAAGCCCGAGGCCTGCCCTGCCTCCATCTGTTAGAAGGAGGGACTGGGGTTGCAAAGAGAGGCCTTGAAGAGAGAGTAGTCAGGCCTGAATCCTGACTTTCTCTGGAGGACTGAAAGAGAAGCAAGCTGATCTAAGTGATCTCGGGCCATGTTTGCATGCCAAAAAGCCAAGGAAAAGCATCTGTGCCAAGTTGAGACAATTCCCCTCTGCCCCTTCTTTCCAGAACAGCCGATGCATCTGGTGCCGAGGGGACACAAATGGGGACAGGAACCACAGCCACGCATCTGCACAGGCAGAGGCTCGCCGTGGCCAGGGTGGCCGTGGCTGTCCCGTGGGGGTTTAAGCACATGATGTGTGGCTGGTGAGGGCTGCTCCCAGCCAGATATGATTGCAAAGGCTGCTCGGGGATGCTGTTGCCAAAATTTGTTTGCTCTCGTTACCCGCGGCCACATTACCTGGGAAATGTCAAATGCAGATCCCCGGCCCCTGACCGTGCCTGCTGGATTGGAGTCCCTCGTTGCTGAGCCCGCAGCTTTGCATCCGTCTGCGCTCAGCCTCGTGAATCAGAGGGCCCCCAAAGTGAACAGCCCCAGCTCTGGAGGCTGACACGGACACTTCCTTCATTTTTTGGTCACTGGATTAAAAGCTGCATGTTTTCTCCTGCTGTAGGACAGGAGTTAGTGGGTGCAGTCGGTGGCCGATTCCCTGCCCTGCGCCAGCCCCATCGTGTGTCGGCACATATACCACCTGCCCGGCCCCAGGCTGGGACTTTCCTTTGGGACCTCGGTGGCAGAGGGGGCCCTTCACGATGGGGAGCCACACCTCCATATGCGCTCCCCCTTCAAACTGCCCCGAATCTCAGCTAATTCGGCCCCTGGCTGCAGGTCCCCTTAGGCTCCCGTGTCCGGGAGCAAGCCACTGGTTCAAAGCCCGCGGCCCCCGTGGGACTCCTGCTGCACACATTTGTGGTCTGAGGGCCATGCTGCATTTCCTGCTGGTTTGTGGAACATCAGGATGGACACCTCAAAGTCTCCACCAGCCTTTCCCTCCCCCAAAGACTTGGGGTGGCCCTTGCTGCACAGGGCCGAGGCTTGCTGAGCTTTTGGGATCGTGGGAGACAGTCTGGAACGTACCAAGGCAGAAAGAGGCCCAGGACAGGGCGTGTTGGCTGTGTGCCCAGCGGGGTGTGTGTGTCTGGGTGTATTTGTGTGTCTGAGGTGAGTGTTCCAACATCTCTTTGCACGTGGGTGTTTGGCCATTCCCCGAGCATTGGTCGAGCCCCCACTATTGGGCCAGGCACCGTGCTTGGCGAGCTGCGCGTGCCCGTCAGGGCGTGCCGGGGCTGTGCACTTGTGTGTGCATCGGTGTGCATGGGGGCAGTAGACGGGGACAGGCCGTGGGGCCTGGCTGAAGTCGGGAGCACAGGTTTTTCTGTGCTGTTCTATGCCCTCTCTGGGCTGTGTCTTAGGGCTCCCATTTTCAGAGAAGGGGGCTGTCTAGCTGGGACAGACCCAGGCTCCCCGCCACCCCCCAGTGAGGCAGGGAGGGGAAGCCGTCACTTCTGCAGTGGAGTGGGAGCCTGGCTCAGTGTCAGCCCCGGAACGGAACCCCCCCCGGGCACGGAGCCGGGGCTGTGTCGTCCTAGAATGTAGCGAAGTTCGGATCCCGACTGCCCCCTAGCTGTGTGGTCTTGCTGAGGGCACCTGTCTGTGGGCCTCATTTACTCCTCGGGGAAACCAAGGCCATTATGGCCGCCTCACAGGAATGGGGCTCCACCGGGTCAACTGTGCACATTTCCGCTCACAGCAGGTGCTTAATATTTGCCAAAGCTAAAAGGGGCCAGGGTCCTGCGGCCTCCCTCATATGTGTGTTTCCTCCACTCAAACTGCAGACAGAACCACAGCAAACCCAGCCACGGCGTGGTGGAGACCTGGTCTGGAAGCGCCGCGCCGCCCCACGCCCCCAACCCCAAGCTGGGGGCCTCGGAACAGGGGAAGAGTCTTCCGCCTGGTGAGAGGGAATGGCGGCCTGGGGTGGGGAGCCCTGGTGGTGGCCCGGATGCAGCCTGGGCCTCCAGGTGGCACTGGGAGGGCTGAGGGCGCCTCTCCTCTCCCCCAGGTCTCACCCTGCCCACCATCAGCATCTCTGTTCCTTTTTCTTAGGCACTGTGGACCCCAAGGAGGAGGGCCTGGAAGCCCAGATCAGCCGGTTGGCAGAGCTAATAGGACGGCTGGAGAGTAAGGTAAACCCGCCTCGCCCCTCGCCCCTCGCCCCTGCACCCAGTGAGTGTAGGGTTGGGCCTGGAGTCCGGACAGGAGCCAGGGACCTTGGAGAGGGCATCAGCCGGGGGGCATGGGGAATGGAGTACAAGACTAGGGGGAGTATGTCCCTTGCACCAGCCCAAGGAGAGGTGCTGGGGGGGAGGGGGCGCTGTCACAGGGCTGGGGGCAGCCCGGAGGGGCACCTCAAGGAGCAGGAAGGAGTCAGCAGGGACGCAGATGACAAGGGGGCAAGGCTTCCTGTGGCTTTGCTCGAAGGTGGGCCTGGCCTGGGCAGGTGATGCCAAAAGGTGGCAGGTGAGGGCCTGCGACATCCCAGGGGGGATGAGAAACACCCCGAACGACCACATGCGATTTGGCACGTCCGCGGGTAATAGAAAATGGCACAGTCTCTGCAGAATCCTGTCTTCAGAGAACATTTCGCCGCTCGGTAGGTCCTCAGGGTAGGACCGCATTAGTCTCCCACGGTGGCCGTAACTGGTACCCCAGGCGGGGCTGAAAGCCCAGCCCCGGGTCTGAGCCTAGAAGTCTGAGATGAGGCTGTTCCCTGAGGCCTGTCTCCTGGTCGGCAGATACCGCCTTCTCCCCGGGTCCTCACCGGCCCTCTGTGCACGGCTGCGTCCTGATCTCCATCTGAGGACAACGGTCAGGTTGCATCAGGGCCCACCCATGGGGCCTCATCTTAATTACCTCTTCAGAGGCCCTATTTCCAAACACAGTCCCGTGCTCGGATGCTGAGGGGTAGGACTTGCACAGAGGATTTCGGAGAGGAAACGGTTGAGCCCATAGCGATGACCATTTGTCGGCAGAAAGACAACAGGCGGCCTTAAGGTTGACCAGTGGGCCCAGGTGTCAGATTGCTCTCTGAATCCTGGCTCTACCACTTAGCTGTGTGACCCTGGGCCGGTGACTTACTCTCTCTGAGCCTCAGATTCCTGCTCTAACCACAGAGAAGTATTCAGGGTAGTCCTCCTCCCAGCGTTGCTGTGAGGATTAAAGAAAACGAGGTCTTAACGGCCTAGCCCAGGGCCTGCGCGCCGAACCTGTCTGCCCGCAGGAGCCCGGGGAGCAGGCAGCTCCCAGCTCTGCGCTTACAGCCATTTGACGTGGCTCCTACCTCGCTGAATTTTTTTACATCTTTGGCAAAAGGGCAAAAAAGTACTTTGATGGGTTTGGGGGTTCTGAGGGATTCGTGGGGGCGGGGCTCCCCACGCAGAGGGAGGCCGAGGCCAGACTTGGAGGGGAGCCTGAGGGAGGAGGCGGCTACCCACGTGCAGGGCGGAGGCCGGGGTGGGATCCCCCTCCCATGAGGCCGGCCGCTGAGTGGGAGCGGTGGGAAAACGGCTCGGCGGGACCCTGAGGCCCGGTTGTCATAACAACTCGGAGCGCCTCCAGAGGGAGGCTCTTTGAAGCTTATTTTTAGCACCCGGTCGCCTTAACAACCAGCTGGCTGGAGACCTCCGAGCACCTGGGTGTCCTGGAGATGGGGCGGGGCCCCTCTTGCTGGCCTCTGATTGGCCCAGGCCGCCAGCGGGAGCCAATCCGGGATGGGCCGGGGATGTCCCGGCCCTCCGCGTGCCAACCTGCGCCTCCTGCCCGCTCTGCCTGGGTGGGGCTGATGGGGCGCTGGAGGGGGCGGGGCAGACCCCCCTCCACCCTCGCCCCCATCCTCGCCCTCCGCCCCCCGTGGCCCTGCTGGCCCGGAGAAGCCGGGGACACCAGTTGCGGCCCCTGCCTCCAGGGCCCCACCTATGCGGTTGTAGAATGACGTGCCAGGCACACCCTGGCCACCGGTAAAGCTTCTTGCAGCGCCGTTTCTGAGAAGTGGGTACTTGCCGCAGGACCGGCTGCAGAAATTACGAGGCCATCTTGGGCACATGCAAAAGGAGCATGCAGGGCCCCTTGCTCAGACATTCTGAAGAATTTCACGGTGGTGACTGCACAGGTCACATGCCCCATTACCGCTGGCTGTTTTCCTTAGCCAGCTACGGGTCTCCCACTCGTGCCTCCTCCACACGAGAGGAAAGACCCGGGTCTGTGACTGTGCCGGAGACATGGCTGTCCTCGTGGAGGATGGACAGGCATAGGCACAAAGGTGCCCAAGTTTAAGAAGAATCACAAATTTGTGGGTCAGGAGATAGACCCTGGCTTCAAACCCAGGCTCCAACGCTCACCCACAGTTCTCTGCTCTGAAACAGCGAGAGCATCCATCAGGTGCCCTGTTCTAGACACTGGCTCAGGGTCGTGAGCAGTATGCACGCGCTTCCTGCTTCCTTGGGGCTTTCGGTGGGCCAGCACCTACGTCAGTCTGCACAGTTCAGCAAGATGTATTGGCGAAGTGTTCAGTTCAAGGTGTCTGGGAGGCCAGGGATAACAGACCAGCCCATTCAGACCATTAGATTCACAAGGCGCCAGGGGTTATGACTCGGGGTGATTGTTCGGTTAATGGGGAGTCTCAGGGCTGTTGCCAGCAGCTGTGGCAAAAACCCAGCATCCTGGGTTTGAGACTCAAGCCCACGCTGCTGCCTGTCCCAAGACTGCACTCCCCCACTGACAGAATGCCTGCTGGGCAGGTCTGGGTAGCCTCTGTGCCTCCCAGTGCTCCCACAGGCCAAGGCCAGAAGGGCTCTCTGCCGTCGGTCTCCCCACCTGGCTTTCCAGCTCCCCGCAGAGCCAGCACGGTGTATGGAGGGTGGACTGAGCCCTGTCCAGCCGCCTGGCGACTCCAGAGCCCCTGGAACCTTGGGGTGGAGAGGCTGCAGCTCTTTGATGGCTCTGGGCATTCTGGTCTCATTGTGGTGGTCTTTGTGCATTATTGTTTCAGACCCTTTGGTTTGACCTTCAGCAGCGCCTCTCGGATGAAGAAGGCACCAACATGGTGAGGCCTGCTCCCTCCCTGCCCCTTTCCTGTGGCCCCATCCCTGCCTGAGCCCGGACTCGATGCCGGCAGCTGCGTGTCCTTGACACCCCCACCCCGGGACCTCCACCAGGGGAGACGCAGCCCCAGCTCCTGGCCACCCAGCCCTCCCAGGGGTGGTTTACTTTTGGACAAAATAGTTGGGCTCAGAGCAAAGTGAGCAGCACAGAGACACCAAAACACGGATTCAAGCAGAAATGAATGTTGCTGGGCGCGCTGGTGCTGCATCTCAGACCAGAGAGCCTTGCAGGCAGCTCCCGACGTCCGGAGAGCCTCTTTACACACCCTTGTTGGCTGTCCTGTGTTGGTAGGGCTCCCGGCAGCTTTGAGCTCTGAAGTCCTAGTTCTTTTTAAGCTAGTTTTCATGTGTAAGAATGAAGGGGCCTGTGTGTCCATGGGTTTTTTCGGTTTTATTTTGGCCAAGTTGTCTTGTCCTCTGGGAAAGAAGGTCTGGGGAGGCTGGGTCTTAAGATGTGCCCAGGGACCAGGGAGGGGTCCTTGGAGGAGAGGGCTGGCGGGGAGTGGGGGCGGGCACCCCACGCTCACGCCCCCCCCCCGGGGTCCCACAGCACCTGCAGCTGGTCCGGCAGGAGATGGCCGTGTGCCCCGAGCAGCTGAGCGAGTTCGTGGACTCCCTGCGCCAGTACCTGCGGGGCACCGCTGGGGCCAGGAACTGCTTCCAGTGAGTGAAGGGGCGGGTGCGGGCAGCTCGGCCTGGGGGTGGAGGGTGGGCTCCCCCTGAGAACAAGCCGTGCCCCAGGGAAGCCCCTCGTCGGTCCGGGCTTTGCCCTGCCGTGTAAATGTGGCCGGGACTGGGTCTCCCTGGTTTTAGCTTCCTCGTCCTCCCTGGGGTTGCTGGAGGTGACACTGGAGTAGTGGCCGTGAGGGGCTCAGGCCAGTGGCTGGGGCAGTCTGCGGTGACTCCGGTTGCGCAGTCGCCCCCCGGGCCTCACCCTCTGCTCCCTGCCGCCCAGGCCGGACGTGGCCACGCATCAGCCTGGCTGGTGGCGCTGAGCGAGGGCTGCTGGCCCAGGCCACCGGGCTCGCGCCGCACGCCGTCTCACGCCCACTGGGGAGCGGCTGGAGCCTCTGGTCCCTGCCGCGGTTCGCTCTCCCCAGCTCGCTTGCCTCGGCCTCCAGAGCACGGGCACCTTCTCCCTGCTTCCTGGGGGTACAGCCGGGAAGCAGGCTCCTGCTCTTGCTGAGCATTTATTCTGGGGGGGAGAGGGGCAGACAGAGAAGGCGGGCTCCCGATGGGGCCAGGAAGCGGGGTCCTGGAGAGCGGGGCTTCGGGAAGGGTTTGCCCTGGGTTCAGGGGCTGCATGTGCTTGAGGCCAGAGCGAGGAGCAGCCCGACCTGCAGGATCTGAGGGAGGGCAGTCTGGGCCAGGGATCAGCTGGTGCCGAGTTTAGGGGCAAAGCCAGCACCTGGTGTGGCCCCACAGTGACACCAGCGGAGAGAACTGGGGATGGTCGGGACCGTGGGGGAGATGGTTGAGCAGAAGGCAGACGTGGTCTGGTCTCCTTTGTGGGAAGAAGGGGTGAGTGGGGACTAGGGTGCAGCAGGGCCAGGAGGGGCCCTGCAGTCACGGGAGAGGGGCAGGCCTTCCCGTGCTGTGGGTTTGGGAGCCAAGCTCACCGGCCTTGTGAGTGGCTGGGATGGAGGAAGGTGGAGAGAGGAGCAAGGCTGAGTTGGAGAGCCTTTGGCTCAGGACACCCGAGAGCGGATGGTGCTGTGTGCTGAGCTGGAAGGGCGGGAGAGGTCAGGTGTGTCGGTGGGGGTGGCCAACAGGCTTTTGGGGCCATGTTAAAGCTGCAGTCAAGGCGCTGACGTACAGGTGGGGTGACCCTGGGAGTGGAGGCGTGCTCGCCGTGGGCAAGAACGTGGGAGGGGAGCAGGCAGGACACAGTGGGGCTTCATGCCTGCGTGGGAAGGACTGTCCTCCCTGCGCCCCACGCCTGCCTGCGTGTCGTCCCGCCCCTGTAGCCCTGTAGCGGCCTCCCCCGCTGCCCAGCAACCCGTGTGTTGTCAGCCAAATGCAGTCCCCACAGGGCCTTTCATCACCCAGTAACCGAACGTACGTGAACCAAATCGCTCCCAAGCAGTGCCATCGGCGTTGGAGGAAGGGTAACGTCCGGTCAGTGGGGGACACGTGTGCCCCATCCTCTCCCCGAGTACGAGCCCACAGCCCCACGTGTGCTTTGAGGCTGGAATGGCCCGTGATTATACAGGGACGGCCACCCCTGACGAAGTCCTCCCCCTCGTGGGATGCTGGGGATTCCGCTCTGCGGAGCTGTGAGAAAGCAGAAGGCAGGAGCGCAGCCTAGGGGCCACGTCGGATGGGGTTAGAGAGGATGGAATCCTAGAGCCTCCCCCTGTCCCCGCCGGGTCAGCCACACTCGGGGAGGTAGCCCCCTGCCTCCTCCCTTGGCCCAGGTAGGATCAGCCCTCTTTAAGGGGAGGTAGGGGGCCTGCCGGACCACTGACCCCAGGCAGGCCTTCCCCCAGCCACCGCTGGTCCGATTCCAACTCCCGAGACTGTTTCAAGGATCAAATGAAACAATTCTAGAGGACAGCCTGGCAAGAGGAAGATGCCTTTATTTTTGAAGGAAGGTAGGTAGGGTTTTTAAACCTTTTCAAGCGTCATTTCATTGTAACTCATTCAGTGAGTGTTTCTTGGCTCCTTTGCGGGGCAGGCCCTTTCGTGGGAGGGAGGGGATACTCCCTGACTGGCCGGGGGCAGGGGGGCGTGCGCAAGGGGCCCCTCCCAGCTCCTGCCAGGCTGGTGGGGGCCCCTGCCTTGAGGGGGACAGGGGCAGCCCCCCAGCTGGAGCCTCTCTTTCAGCATCGCAGCTGTGAGGCTGGCTGACGGCTTCACCTTCGTGGTCTACGAGTTCTGGGAGACCGAGGAGGAGTGGAGGAGGTGAGCCCAGCGTCAGGGGGTGGGATGCAGGCGCCCCCGCCCTCGGGCCCCTGCTCTGGAGCATCGCTGGAGAGCTGGGAAGGCAGGGGAATAATGAGCCCCCCCCCCCCAATCCCACCAGCTGGGCTCTGAACCCAGGTCCTGGCCTGCCCTGGGAGCGGAGGGTAAGGCTGCTCCCGTTTGAAAACTGTGGCCCCAAGGGATAAAACTCCAGAAAGTTTTCTGGGAAAGAACACTCTGTGGGAGGCAAGAGCCAGGCTGTCCCCTGAGCCTGCTCCTCCCTGCTCCAAGGCCACAGCGTTCAGCCTCCCTGAGGCCTGGTCTTCGTATCTTTACCCCCTGGCTTGAAGCGCCCAGCCTGGCGCACAAGGGGTTAGGGCCCCCCCATCCCGGGGAGAGCCACGGGATGACCCCCGCCCCCGTTCCCCTGGCTTGCAGGCACCTGCTGAGCCCTGTGTGCAAGGCGTTCCGGCACGTCAAGGTGGACACGCTGAGCCAGCCAGAGGCCCTCTCCAGGATCTTGGTGCCAGGTAGACGGAAGTGGGGTGTGCAGAGGGTCCTAGAAGGGGCGAGACAAGGATGTAAGAGGTGAGCCCCTGAGAGGGGATAGGACCCGAGGTGGAAGGTAGCCCTGTAACCTCGAGCCAAGAGGGGGGCTGCAGGGAGGGGGGCAGAGCCTGCCCTTCCCAACCCCCTCCTGTCTCCTCTCTCCCCCCTGCTACCAGCTGCTTGGTGTACTGTGGGCCATGACTGACCACCTCCCTGAGGCCTTTGGATCAACCTGCCACTCTGTCCACTCTTTTCTAGAAACTTTGGTATATAAGCTGTCTTTTCAATATACTTCCGGACAAGAATGTATTTTCCCTGTGTGACGTGAAGGAGCAGCCCCTGCCCTGGCCTTGCCCTGACCACCCCCCCCCCGGCCCCCCAGTGGTAGAGCAGTGTCCGAGCTGCTGCAGCCGAGACACAGAATGCACAGGGAAACCTCCTGGAACCAGCACCCTCCCCTCCCAGCCCAGTGGCCACGCATGACCCTCTTCCCCTGCCCCTCCTCGGGCCACTGCCTCACAGGCCTGGGGAACATTCCTCTCCCTGGTAGGAGCTGAGACCCTGTAGTGCCCACCCACAGCCTGGGCCCCGCTGCACATGACCGTAGAGCCCTCGTAGCCCGTGCCCTGCCTGGCAGTCAGGCACCAATAAACCCTGGTTGGGAACGGCTGCGTGCTGTGTTTTTCTTCTGAATTTTCTAGCGCATGGCTGCTAGAGGAACAAAGCGGTCTCGGTGCACGGGGCCCCCTTCGTGGCCATGAAACCTTGACCCAATCACCCCAAAGCCTGTTTCCTTATCTGGAAAACGGAGCTGATGAAGCTGAGGTATGTATTTTAACAGACAGGGTCTTGTCTTTTCCAAAGTTCTGGGAGTCCCCAAGAATTCCCCGCTGGCTCCAATAACTCCCTGAACGTCCGGGAGCCCTTTCACTCAGCTACGCATTACGGCAACAGCAAAGGGAAGCCGTGCAGGGGTTGCGGAGACCAGGCCCAGAGCTTACAACCGCCCCCTTTCTCCCAGCACCGAGGCGTGACCACGCCCATCGAGTACTGTTCTCCAGAGCCTCCGCGGTCGGGTTCCACTAGGGGCCAGTCATGCCCAGTGCTGACTTAGCCTCCAGCCCCTCTAGAGGTCAAGCTGAAACCTCCCGGTCAGAGACCCCAGGTAAACACAGAAGTTTGAGATCAGGACAGTCCAAGGTCCTAGAGGTCACCTCCCGGGAGCCAAGGGCCAAGGCCAGACTGCTCTGGGCACAGTGGATCCTTCACTACACACCTGTAAGTGAGCTATGCCAACAAGACAGGAGACCGAGACCCTACATTTACAGATTTCAAGTCCTGTTCTGGAACCTAACTTCCCTGCTCTGTTTCTTAGCACCAAAGAGGTCAGACACAGAAATCTCAACGGACCAGGAAAGAGCACCCTGGTCCCCCGTCTGCAGGCAGGATGGAGGGGGGACAGAAAGGTCCTAAACCAGGGCAACAGTGGGACCTGGTGGGAGCCCTGGGGCCACGGATGCAGCCGGAGCAGCCAGCCTGTGACATGGGGACGAGAGGACCACTGTCCTGCCCCCTCCTGGCTGGGTTAGATGCTGGCCCTTCACGCAACGCCCGTGATCTACAACATGGGCTTGCAGGAAGTGTAAAAACCTGGTTCGGATCCCAGCTGTGCACCTCCCAGCTGCATGCCCCCGCAGCCAGCCTCTCCGAGCCCCCACTTTCTCATCTGTAAAGCGGGGAGAAGACCCTTCCTTGAAGACCAGGACTGCCTGGCTCACCAGAGAGGCACGTACCAGGGTCCTGCCCAGAGCATCCACCAGCACCCCCAAAGCGGGGGCTGCTCCAGTTGGCTCCGTGGTCTTACAAAGATTCTTAGGGGGCTGAGGCTCTTTGGGGTATAACTGAGGAACCCCACGAGCTGGGCGTGTTACACTTCTGCCCCACATCTTACCCACTGGCCCAGGCTCCTGCCTCCCCATGTTGTAGGCTCTCTGCTGATCACAGCTTGAGCTCTTAGAGCCTCAGTGGATTCTGAGTGGGTGGGAACAGGCTCTGAGGAGAAGAGATTTCCAACCCTAAAAGGTACAGAGCTCCCACTGAATTTCCACTTCTCTGCCATCTCCCTCAACGCTGCCTGTGCCATCCTGTGATTGGCAGGTTCCCCCGGGGGCGCAAACAGAGAGCAAGCAACTCACCAGAGGTCACACAGCAAGCTAAGGGCACCACTTACACCCCAACCCAGAGCGACCTGCCCCCAGCCCTCTGCCCTAGCCCGTGCCACACAGCACACACATGTGGGACCAGCTCCAGGATGGGACATTAAGGCCTCAGTCGGGTTCCTCAGTTAAAGACAGAGTCACTCTAGGAGCTGGCCAGCCCACTGCTAGGTCTATGCTATGCCCAAAAGAACAGAAGAGCCGCATGTGAGCAAATACTCATGTACAAACGCCGATGGCCGTCAGTGGATGATCAGACAGCGTGGGCTCTGGCCACACCAGGGAGTGAAAGAGACCAGCCGTGAAGGGATCTAGCGTGTGATCCCATTCCCACGAAACATCTAGAATACTGACGTCTACAGAAGCAGGAAGCAGATTAGTGGTTGCCAGGCTGGGGTATGAGGGAGTAGGGAGTGACTGCTAACGGGGCTGGGGTTTCTTGTTGGGGGACAGAAGTGTTCTGGACATAAGCAGAGGTGGTTACACAACACTGAGGTACCTGAGTCATATACCTTAAAATGGTTACTTTTGTGTTAAAGTTCACCTCAACTACCGCCCGCCCCCCAAAAATCTCAACTCACCTGCCCAGATCAAGAAGTTCACCACCTGCATTCAGTGGCCGATCTACGTTCTTGCCGCGTCCAGCTCAAAACCCAAACCTGGCGAGCGTGCGGAGGCAAGCCTGTGGGTGGGGGGGCAGCTGCTCAGGGGACCGGCAGCACCGGGCGCTGGTGTCCCTGCCCAGAGCGCCCTGCAGCCCTCGCCACTCAGAACTAATCACTTGTGACACAGTATCACTTGGCCACATCAGCAGGGTTATTTGAGACGTGGGTCTCCACTCTCATGCACAGGGGTGACCGAGGCCCGGGACCCGTGACAGGCCAGCCCCTGTGCCCGTGGTGTTACAGGTACGTCTCAGCTCACGCTCACGGCCAACCTGGGGTGGGGAGAGGGGCCGTCCTTTGCTTGGTTTTCGAGGAGAGCAAGGACGACGCAAACGGAGGGCCACAAGGGAGAAAGGAGGCAGGGGCTGCTGACCTACCCGAGGAAGGACACCAGGGCTGACAATAGCAGGAGGGAGGTTTGCCTGGGCTAGCCCAGGCTGTACCGCTGCTAGGGATAGGCAGAGCCCACGCCCAAAGCCCAAATGCCACCTTGGCCTTGAGGACACCGCTTCACCCCTCCTGCCACCTGCGGGCAGGAACCTGAGGGGGTCACTTAGTGTGCGAGAAGGACAACCCTGAGTGCGCTCATACCGCCGCCGGGCGAGACGTCAGAGGGCAACGCCCCAGCCTGCATTTCTCTGCCACACGTCCTGCATGATGACGGCTGAGGTGACACTCCATCCCAGGAGGATCCCACCGTCCCTGACACAGATCCAGATAAAAATGACAGTCCCCAGCGAGATGTGCATCGCCCCTTCAAGGGCCCCACCCTCTTCCCGCAGCATGGAGTGCCAGTCCACTCCCTCCCTGATGTGCCTTCCTGTTTTTGGATGGGCCCTAGCATCTTCTTTCCCTTTTCCCTTGGCGGCCGGGAAGCTTGGTGTTCACCTCATCTCAACCTAGGTTTTCTGGAAATAAAGCTACCGTTGCTCAGCGGCCCCCACCCCCACACTGCTGCTGGAGACACGTTATCACCTTTAACTCTCACAGTGAGCCCTCCTGGCGGCATACACAATAAGCCTGCTCCGTTTGGCTGGTGGGGAAACAGAGTCCCAGAAGCGGTTCATCAACTCCCCCAATACTGAGATAGCAAATGGCAGAACCAGTGCTCAACAGCAACAGTCCGACCCCAAAGCCAATTCCCACAGTGCCCCCTTCGATGGCCCCAGCCTTCCCCGCCCACACTCCGCTCTTCCCCGGGACTCCGTGAGCGGCCCTCGGCCGGCCCCAGCCCCCCGGCCGGCGCTGCACCACCTGTCCGGAGCGTGCGGCACACGTGATCAAGGACTCGGCTCGCTGCTGCCGCGGGGCAGTTCTGCCGCAGCCCGTGGCCTGGCTCTGAGGCCCTTGTCCGGGGGGACGCTGTGGCCACCAGACGTGTGGAGCTAGCCAAAGGGCACTTGGAGGAGACTCCTGTGCCCACCTCACCGGGTCAGAGTCTACACCCGCAGCCAGGACGGAGGAGGGCAGAGGGGCCATCCCTGCCCCTGGCGTTGGGCAGACCAGGTCCCATCCCCTTGGCCACTTGGAACACGTGCTAGAAAGAAAATGGACAATGGAATCTAACCCCAAATCCATCCCGACCCTGGCTCTGTACCTCACAGGACGGGTATCCCGGACTCTTCTGAGCCTCAGTGCCTCATCTGTAAAATGGACGATTTTGAAAACAGGCGAAGTCAAAGGAGCCAGACACGAAGGCCGTTCGTACGGAGTGTCCGGAAGCAGCCGATCCGCAGAGACGGCAGACTCCTAGTTCCCAGGGCCAGGGCCAGGGCAGGGACTGCTGGGGGGCGCAGCTTTCTCTGGGGGGACAAAAAACACCGGAATCAGACGTTGGCGACGGCGGTACCACTTTGGCCATCAACAGCCACCGAACTGTGCACTTTGGAAGGTTGAACTTCATGGTTCATGGGGTACGAGGGAGTAGGGAGTGAATTACATCTCAAAAAAATTTAATGCAACTGGATAGGCTGGAAAAAAAAAAAAAAAAAGCCCCCAAACCCCAGCTGTTATCACCGCTGGTCTCACAAGGGCAGGCACGCATTTCTCAACAAGGCACCAACAGGGCCCGACCCAGCGCTTACCCTCAGGGAGCTGTCCTCGCATGTCGGCCCCTCCCAGCTCCGGCACCGCTGGCTTCCCGCAGACGTCCCAAGGCAGAGGAAGAGTGGCCCGGATCCAGTGACATCCAGAACATCCCCGGTCCCGTGCAGGGTCAGTGCCAGCAAGCACAGCACGCAGGAGCAGCTGGGCCCCTGGCCGCCTCTCTCCCCGCCTCCTCCTTTCCCCTACCCTGGCCCCGGGGCCGACCCCCGGTCCCCTCACTCTCAGCTGCAGGTGCCACCCCTCACCCCAGGATTGGCTGGGGTCGGGAAGAAAGCGGAGAGCCAACAGTTCACTGGGCTCCCAGGCTCTTCAGGTCCAGCCGGAAGGGAAAGGGGGGGCTCTCCCTGGGGCCCTCCCATCGGAGCGCCGGCCAAAGCCCTACTTGTGGTATGAACTGCATCCCCTGGAAATATTCAGTTGAAGCTCCACCTCCTGGAACCTGGGACTGTGACCTCATTTGGAAAGA